TCCTCCAAGCTCAGCTGGTAAATTAGTGGTTATATTTAAACACTTTGATATTGAGGAAGGCTACAACGGAATTTGCAGGTAATACCATGGCATAAACGAGATGAAATGATATGTAGTTCTGCTGACCTCTTTTTCTGATTCATTTATTTATTCACCTTATTTGATGAAGTGATTATTTGARAAATTCGTTATTGACTCTTTCTTTTAATTGMTTTCTTCTTACTGACTGAATTATATTTTCTAGCAACGACTTTGTTAAGGTTTTTGAMAAATCTGACAAARTGTTATCAAGTGCTGTTTGTGGTCAAAAAAGTCCCTTTGCAGTTGTTAATTCTGCTCCAAKGACAACTTTCATCTCGCTTAAGTCAGATGGAGGCTTGGAGAAGAGTGGATTTCAAGCTGGTTACTTTTTTCTAAGTGACAAAGATAGAGGTAAATTGTGAATGAAGTTTTGATATTGTATTGTAAATTCAATCTCACAGACTTCTTATCATGACGCCAATTCATGGTATGGTGTACAAGCTCGTCAAGTATAGTCTGTTCGGTGATGCGCAACCACTTCGAGCCTTTTTTTTTAATTTTCATGTTAGCTTGGCTATAAAACTTCTAGGCCATTATAAGGCTATTCAGACACACGCCAAAAAAAATCCCAAAGGCTCCGAAAATCGTGTTGTATATTTGCAATCCTACCTACAGCTATCTTGCATATTGAATGGTGTTTAGATATTTATTTTAAGTATATATTATTCAGCAGTCATCCAACTAAAACAGAACAGCAAAAATTCCACAGCAGCCTCACTGTCTTGGAGTTACCCTTCGTCCAGTTCAATCGATACGTTTTATGTTTTATGCAAACAAGATGAAGTAAACGAAAACTGGAAAGTCGTTAAAACAGCATCGTTAGCTGCAACCATCGATGGCCTTCGTCCTTCTACACCATATATAGCCAAAGTCATTGGAAATAGCAGTGAAGCAGTTTTTTGGAGTAGTCCAGTTCAGTTTGTAACATGATTTTGAAATTTTGTTTCATTTGGACATGGGCATTTTATATAAGACCTTATTCTTCGCGTTCAAGAACGTCACAGCGGTCATCTTGAAGGAACTTCAACAAAGGAATTCTCATTAGTATCATCTATTGTTCATTCCTCCAACATGGTCGCCTGTCTACTGTCTTTTGAATCTCATGGGAATGGAAGAAACTATTATTGTAATCCTAAAACTCTGTGTGCACAGTAGAAAAAAGGTGTACGTATAACCAATTCTTTGTGTAAAATGGAAAGTTTATATATGAAAACTGATGTTTATATGTTAAATGTGCTTATTCCTTATGTGCTCAATGTAACTGAAAAAGATCTGTGTGCAGTGTTCCTTGACGTCTCGTTTTAATGCTTTGCTCGTGGTCACTGAACCTGCGTATGGAAAGTCGTGAAGAGGTGAAATGCCGACTTTGTTAAAAACCGAAGAAAAAAGATATGATGACACCATTTATTTCAAGCCTTTTTATCACAAATGACGCACATGACCCGAAATTAATCTACCCTGCGAGCAGAGGAATTTTTCCACTCACCTCTTAATTTTTTGCGAGCATAGGAATTTCTCCACCCACTTCTTCGTAAAAGAATCTCGCAGGGTAGAATTACTCCAGTCAATTAAATAAATCGATGTTCAAGTGCAAGTGATTCGTTTTGGATAAACAGTCCTTTTTTTGGCAGTGCATCAGACGCTTAAAGAAATTTCCGCTTCAAATGAGGAAAGACTAGAGATTTATTGCGTTTTTATAGTTGTAAATGCAACATAGGCGAAGCCCTTATACCCGCACCAGATATGTATTTGGTTTTACTCTCTACCTTGCTTATCCTAGGAACAATACCTATTAAAGGTAAGCCAGAGTTCTACGTAATGTTGAGCGTAACCCAAAATTAATTCATGAATGCGTACATGAGATATGACACAAAAGGGAACAGGATGAAAAATATAGGAATTAATTGTGTATTTACTGCGAACAACGAAATAAATGTATGTTATAATCGTACATTCCTAGCACAGAAATTGGAAAGTACATAAACAGAAATAACTACAGTTTTACATCAATTTCCAGAATCATACCAAGATACGTATTGATTAGGTATATAATAGCATTAATTAAAGATCAACAAGACTTAACATTTATTAAACAATCACACCATGAGATCTCGGATTAAGTCTGATAATAAAAAAAATAGAGCATACTTTAATTTTGAACTTTGTAATGCAAAAGATACATGAAACGATATCATGCGATATCATGTCCGTAACAGCTGTTTCACATATTCAAGGTACGACATTTCCGGGCGTCCAATGTTGCATTAAAAATGAACGTTGAGGTTTGTAAACCTTTACGCAAGTTCATTTTCTAGTCTAGAGAGCTAAACTCGTTTCGTTTCGTTTCGTCGATTATATAGTAAGCAAGCTCATGCAATTTCAACACGTTTAGTGGCACGAGTCAACCCTGCTGTCAGGGTAAAAGTTACAGATGTACAAGAATATGATTGCCAGTTACAACTCTCATTGCATTTCTCTATCCAAGAAACATCTGCATTCTTTACTACGATTACATTCCATGTTCAGAGGGGTATGCTGTGTGGCAGACAACAAAATCTAAAGTAGGAGACGTAGGAGTATGGGTCATGAAAATTGGCTGCAACTTGGAGGCGATTTCCCATCGACAATCGCAGGGCTGTTTACATGTGCGATTTTAGTTGCTTGAGCTATCGGTCGTGTAGTGAGACGAAATAGAATAACATTTAATCATGATGGGGTAGTTTTTTTTCGGTCGTGACATTAAATATACGAGAAGAATCCAGCCAACAACCTAAATTTAAAAATAGTTTGAGCTAGACGCTCTAATATTATATTACACACGTTACTTGGCTTTTAGCAGGCATAACCTGCAGAGCCTTGAACCTTAGTAAAATATATACAACTTAATTAGATTAAATAAGACAATTGGCACGGTGAATACGAAGATCAGTAACGACTAGAAAAACGTAGAGGGCTCACGTGCCCATCATGCGTGCACGGCCAAGCAAAGTATGGAAAGTGTTTGAGTTTGGAATTCCTACTACACAAGCGCTTTGACTGCGAAAAGTCTTTCTAGGCGAGCTTCCTCAGCCTCAGCCTGTGTCGAACATATTAATCGTAGTTTGTAATTATCTTCTACTGTACTCGAGAACTAATAAACGAGTAGCAAATTAGAACGATCATTAAAAAAACACAACTTTGAGCGAAGGGGGACTGGGGAAGGGCAGAAAACAGTAGAAAGTATACGGAGACATTCCATGATACAGCGATTTTTCAATTCTTTTTGTCAGGGATTGTAGCTATCTTTCGTTCGTGAAAGATATTATAACAAAATAGTGAAATAGTATCTATATAAATGTTTATCTTTTGTGGATTAAAATGGCATTTTTTCTTTACCATTTGAGTTAGTTGCTTTTTATTTTTGAGGGAAATTTGGCTCGACTTTTCCGCATTTCCTTGGCTAATCAATCCGTTATTCGCCCTATTTTGACATTCCTTTTTGGGCTTTTTTAGTGACAAACGTTTTTATTTATAATGACCAGAATGCTCAGGTTGGCCGACCAACTTGAGCAACCTGCCCGATACATACAATCAGGCCCTAGCAAGGCATTGATCAAGTTTTCATGTTATAATACACTGTTAAATATTACTTCTTAGATTTCTTTTCATTAACCCGCGAAGCAAAATGTAAATTTAAAGCCGAAGTGTAAAAATGTGCCATTCAAATGCCCAGCCCTTTAATTATTGGGGGTCTGACACTATTTATTTTTCGTTTTCAACGAATTAGTTCTAGTTAATTTTAGACGTCCCCCCCCCTCTTTAAGCACATAAAGTTAGATGTTGCACCCCCCTCTCCTGGTAAATATTGCATAGTCTCTAACTTAAGTTACTTTCATTGTTCTGCAGGGTGCATTACCAATCTCAATGGAGACAGCGGGGAGTTCTCGATCAATGAAACCTACTTGAATAGACCGTCAAACTGTTCGTGGACAATTGGCAAAGGCACAAGTGATATCGACTTCATAGTCATCAAATTCGAACCCTTTGATCTGGGAAATCATTGCTTGTAAGTAATGTATTTTTTGACACTGAGTGTTTGGTAAAGTAAACTAAGCAAGCTGTGTTGAGAAGAATATGAGGAAAGAGATGGTCTACGCATGGCTGATGCATTTTTCGGTTTTGTTTGTGATGTTTTTGTTTGTAAGTTTGAGTCATCAAGTACATGTTCTTCGATATAATTTTTTTGCATGAAGTTAACTTTAGTATGATAAAGAAACTGAAAATGCCTTATTATTTTTGTTATTGGAATAGTGTCTGCGTTTTTACAAACAGATGTATAAGCAAACAACAGGCCAGATTTTGGCTTTTATACGATCAATTGCTTTTCACCTTGAATTGCCTTCACCTCATTAGCTCAGCCATTTCTGCTACTGCAATAAATTATTACAAGTTGGCATAATTCTAAATTTTCTTTTCTACATAATTCTACGCTTCCTTGCTGCAGTGCTGCTCAACGTAAATACGTCGAAGTTTCTGATGCGAATCACCAGTTTAAAGTTAAAGAATGTGGCGGAGGGCGTTCATTTGAAGTTTTGATTAAAAGGCAATCGGCAGTTGTCAGATTTTACTCAGAGATAACCTGTCGCTGGGGACCGTATTCGTCTTGCAGCCACGATAGTCAAAATATTCGCCTATCTTTCTATGTTATTTCAAAGAAACCTGAAGGTCAGTACCTTAAGTAATTTAGTATAATAATAATAATTATTATTATTATGATAGAGTCATTTTCATTCGTCTAATAAGGCAAACTACACCCTACTACATCCTAAGAGTTAGTAGGAATTGTTTAACGGACGGATGAAAATGACTCTATTGGTGGTGCTACGGCTTTTGACGTTGTTGCTGTTGTTGTTGTTGCTTTTTGGTTTGGTTCTATAGCAGACAAAGAGCTGTTGAATAATCCAGTTTCGAAAAACGAAAAACCGCTGCTTTATTTGGCAAGAGATTCTCTTGCGTAAATCATAGGTGCGACCTGACCCCCGTAAAGACCTCAGCGAACACAAAAGAGAGCACGAGAAAATATSTCGTTATTACAATAGACTTGAAAACCTAAAAAATGCGAAAGCAGTGATAATGTATATTTTTAAAGATAGAAGTTAAAACTTCYAATGAGCATGTGCATGTTCCACAATCAAAAGAATWTYGATCCCACACGGAAGAACGGCTGGTCTATGCTTAACTAATGGCTGCAGATTGATTCAAACTGGTTTAAAACCAAGCAAAGGTCGATATTGCGACAATCTGAGACTTTTGCTAGTGTTTGGTTGCGATAAAGCGCTGATTAACTTGGACATCAGTTGCATATATCTGATAAAGGCCCATCACCTGACTCACTATAGCTTGATGCTCATTGGACCTATAGCTTATGAATTATTAATGAGTTCTAGAATAGCCATTAAACAATTTATCATGCACTTCAATATGATTATTTTGTTATATCCTTTCTAAAGCCTGTGATTTTATGTTCAAAGGTCTGAATGCAAAGAGCTGGAAACCTACTATAAAACAAACCAAACCTGGTGTAGTTACCATTGGTTGGGATCCCTTGACGCTGCCATCAAAGAACTATATTGTTGTACCGTTGTATGACTCTACTGCGAAAGAGGAACCATTCATTYACATCATTGAACTCAGAAATGACACATCCATGGCAGTGGAATACCTTAAACCTGCTACTTCGTACTCGTTCAAAGTCRTTGCTTTCGATACGACGGGGWCCTTTATYGAAAGCACTACATCGTCTATTATAATGAATAATGGTACGTGATACGTATAACTATATATACAAGTTAGTTTACTCCCCGTGGAAGAGGGGGTGGGGACTCCCTCATAAAAAAGGGCGTGGATCCTCGTCGGAAATTCTGAGAATGATCCCTAAAAGGGACCTGTATTGTGAGATGATGGGCGTGACAGTGCTGACATTTTACCCTAAAGAGAGAGACAAATCGATAACAGGTCATTTTGTTTTTGTTTCCCGATATTATTTGAGATCAATCATCTTATTTCCAGGCATGGTTGTTGTTGATCTTATAATGACGGCTTAGGGTCGTCGTAACCCTAAGGGGACCACAAAACTCAGTTGGTGGGAATTCTCGTCATTAATTATTATCCTAAGCGGGATCAAAACAGTGATTTCAAACTCTAAAAGGGACGACGACATCAGTTTAATCAAGCTATTTTTTTTTTCGATTGTATTTTCTTTGTACAGATCATTCAACATTGAAACTCTGATTTTTTTTATATGATTAGAATAGCTTTGTTTTTGTTGCTGTTGTTGTTGTTATTTTTTTTTTATTTTATTTTATTTTTTTTTTTGCTGTCTTCAGCGAGAATCTCAGACTTGGGGATAAATGGTTCCCTTCTATCGGATCTCCGATACTAACTAAGAATTATATATAGCCATAGTTTGTGAATTAGACAAGCTTCTTTCACTTTTTTTACAGGCTCGGTAAGACTTATGGGTGGAACGCTATCCAACGAGGGAAGAGCTGAAGTATTCAAAGACGGTTTATGGAATAAGATATGCTTTAATGATGATCGGTGGAATCCAATTAGTGGCAATACTTTGTGTCGATCCTTGGGTCTGCCTGATCTATTAAAATTTGTGTATGATAGAGAATTTATGACTACGACATTACCAATACATTTGCTAGAGTATAGTTGTAATGGAACTGAGACAAGTATCGAAGAATGCAAAGATACACAATCCGCTTGTAAAGATTACCGCCGGAGAAGATTATCTGGAGTAATATGTGGAAAGCAACCTGGTAATTATAGTGCTTCAATACTAACATTTTTTAAAAGGGAAAGGTGATCAGCAAAAAATGCATGTTACAATGGCAATTTTCATCATATAATAATGCGTACTTACATAACTTCTTCCCCTCTTACTTAATTCATAAGTTGTGTGAATGCTTAATTTTTTTTCACTTAAAAGCGTTTACACGGGCTTACCAGGCTATTGAGAAGTGAAGTTGGCCCCGGTCATCCTATTTCATGAAAATAAAAATGTCCTAACTAAAAAATATACGCCGTTTTTGACCATAAAAACTTTATAAAAGCCTTTTTGACCTTAAATACGTTTGCCAGGAACAATAATATTTGAAAGAATGAAGGGCGCCACATTTGATTGTGGGATTGTCAACAATATACAAAATCCCTTTTCGAAGGAAAACAATTCGTACAAGAAAGGTTATTTAGAAGAACAGAACCCGTCGACTCCTCCTGTACTAATGAATGAATGTACTAGACATTTCATTGACAAAGTGGCAGAATTAGATGGTTGGATACTGATATCAAACATAAAAAAATAATGTGAAAGCTCCAGAATAATGATAACTACTGATAACTATCCTCCTCTTTATAATAATTAGTTGTTATGTCATAAATTTATATTTTTAGTTTTTCATCAAACTATCACTGACATGGCTGGGGTCATAACAAGCCCTGGATATCCATCATCCATGACGAAAGCCGATTACCGCTGGACATTCATGACAAATTTGACACGTGGACGTGTGGCTCTCTATTTTGACGTACTAGATTTGCAACGTTATGAAGGGTAAAGTACTATAAGCTACAAGCACGCTCTGAAAAACATGAAAAAGTGAGCTTTATTGTGAGTTTTTTTGACCCAGAGGTGATTGGGAATCATTAAATTTTTCATTTGCACGATTGCGACAACTTTTTGTTCACTCAAAAATAAATAAATTAATTCACGGG